CCATGGGAAGTGGTTCATCCCAGCCTTTTTGTAGTCTGCACAATTGCTGAAATATTCTCCTAGCCTGTAATATGAATGGACTGACATATCCTAGAGGGTCAAACACAGTGCTAAGTGTACTGAGCACATTCCTTTTGGTTTGGGTTCTGTTATGCATCACTTGTACATCAAATCCTAAGTAATCAGTATTCACATGCCACAGCATACCTAGAGCTCTCTCCGTGGATTGATCCTCCAAATTCAACTGCAGAGATATCAAAGATTTTCCTCGGTCCTCCTTTGGTATATGCTTCAGCAGTTCTGGTGATGAAGAAATATATTTAGTAAGATGAAATCCCCTTCTATTCAGAAGCTCTTTAACTTGCTTTGCTAAAACTATAGCAGACTCAACACTATTTGCAGACTTCAGGCAGTCGTCCACATAAAAGTTGCGAAGAACTGTGTTCAGTACTTCTTCTGAATACATGTTGCGATACTCCTCAACTACCTTTTGAAGGGCATAATTTGCACAGCTCGGGCTCCATACTCCTCCAAAGATATGAGCTGTCATTCGTAAGGTCTGTAGGGGTTGTGATGTGTTGTTCTCAAACCACAGAAAGCGAAGTGAGTCTCTGTCTTCAGGTAACACGCAATGAAACATGGACTCTATATCGCCATAAATCCCACTGCTCCTTGTCGGAATCTCAACAGAACACCAACAAGTCCATTGGTCAAATCTGGTCCCTGATGCACATGATCATTGAGTGAAGAGCCACCATACTTGGCAGCACAGTCAAAAAACAAAGCGACACTTTTCTGGTTTCTTTGTATTCAACACAGGGTGGTTTGGCAGATACCACACTTTGCCATCATGGCGGTGCAAGTCTTTTTCAGGGACTACTTCTGCATATCCTTTTTTTAGCAGTTTGTGGATTTCTTCAGTATTTCTTTTTAGTGTCATCCTTGTTAAGGCGCTTGGTTAATGATATTAACCTCTTCTCGGCTAGGAATTTGTTGTCAGGTAAACTAGGTCGCTGTGCCTTGAATGGTATACTCAATGCATAATGTCCCTCTATCACCTGGAGTGTACTGTTCCATGTGTCAACTGCTTTCTGGTCACTAACTGACCAGCCCTTCTCTTCTGCAAAGGCATCCTCTATCTCCCATAGTCTCTTCATATCACCTTCCAATGGTACACTTGCCTGTATCAAATATGAAAAATTAGTCGACTTACCAAAAGGGTTCACTGGTCCATTTATGACCCAGCCTAGTGGTGTGAGCAAGGCAAAAGGTTCTCCCTGTTTACCTCTTTTGACATCAGTTGGCAGCAACAAGTCTGAAGAGTCTTGGCCAATCAGTAAGTGCACTTGGTCTGCCTTCACTTCTGGTATATCCAAATCTCTAAGGTGCGGCCACTGCACAACATTGTGTTGATCTACCTGTGAGATCTATATTCAGACTTGGTCTCACAGTTGCTTCTATGTTGTATTGTAAGTCACTAACCTGTCACACTGGAAACAGTTAAAGACACTACTGTTGTTTCCACAGACATTCGGTTCTGTGTAAGTGTGGTTAACTCAAATTGCATAGTTCCTTGGACTCCTAAATGATTGCACAGAAACTCACTGCAGTAAGTAGCGTTACTACCAGGATCAAGCATAGCATAAGTGTCAATGTAGACATCAGAGCCTGGACGCCACACTCTTGCAGGTACAATTGGCATAGCAAGTTTACCTCCACATGTACGAACATAATGGCTGCTCTGATTTGTTGTGATTGATGATGATGTGGTTGATATATTCTGATCTGATACTAGAATTGGATTCCCTGTGTTGTCCACATAACCAACCTGCAGTCTAGTTGGCATATGAAGAAACTTGTTGTGTTTGAGGCCACATCCACTAATGTTGCATACAAAACTTCTGGGACAGGTTTTCCCTATATGTCCCTTGGCAAAACAATTTATACACAATGCTTTTGACATCACAAAGTTCCTACGATCCTTAATCTTCATGGCTTTGAATCGTAAACACTGAGTCATATAATGTTCTTGTCCACAGCAAGGGCAGCCGTCAGAATTCTGTGTTCTATTCTCAGATGTAACTAACTGCTTTTTCACTGAGCTGGCTTTCACAGCAAAGCTTCCAATTCTCCTCTTCTCAGCTCCCTTAAGACTGATTTCTTTATCCCTTCTGAGCTCACTGAAAGAAACTCTAGAAAATATGGGGTCATTAGCTTTTTCTGCTCCATCAGTAATGAAATCGACCAGGTCCTTCAACTTCGGTATTCGCTTCTGATCTTTCTTTATAATATGATTTTCATGAGACCATCTGTCTTGCAAGTACTGCGGTAATTTCCTCCAGATGGCCTGTAAACTAGCTGCATTGTCTAACTCTTTCTCATGACCCATGTTCTTTAAAGTCTGATAACAGCACTTGAGGTCATCAGCAAAATCTCTAAGCTCGGAGGGTCCCTTTAAATTAGGTCTGTTTATAATCCTCTGTATCCATTTCTGTGAAAT